TCTCTCTCTCTCTCCCCCCCCTCCAATCATCCCATTATCCCTGAAAGGTTGTTTCCAAGATGCCCCCTACTGATACCAAATTCCAATAATGCACAAGTACAGTATGTGTCGCATGTAGTCTTTGCAAATCCCCCTTGCGCTTTTAAATAATTTCTGCCTTACCTATAATAACATCTAGCACAGTGCAAATGATAGATAGTTGTCCATGCATGCCGTATTCTTTAGGAGATAATGTTAAGAAAAAAATCTGCACATGTTTAGTATATAATGTCCCCCAGTATTTTCAATCTGCGGATAGTTGAATCGCAGATACAGGGGAACAGCTGCAATGTATTTCTTTATTTGAAGAGGTAATACCCAATTAACAAACAAAATTCAATGGTGAGAACAAATGCCTCATATCTCATCAAAATAAGCTTCACTCTATTGCTTCCCTGAAGATACATGGCTACGAACTCCCAGACAAGCACTGCAGCCAACTTCTTGAGCACTTCAGGAAGGCAGGCTCTGCCTGCGCTTGGGTAAGTGGGCACCTCCTTACACATTTGGTCATCCATCAGCACATGTTATATACCTAATTCTTTTTATGAAAATTGTATCTACAAGCTCTACATTGTCATCTGTAAATCTTCCAACTGTTGTTCTAGAAAATCAAAATATGCATTTAAATATAAGTTATATGCAACTGATTTCAATGACATTTAAGTGCATACTAAATATAGTACATACATCTAGTGTTACACAAGTAGAATTGCAAAACTACAAATTGTATACATTTTAAATGTTAATAGACTTCTACTAATGTATGAAATTGTCTGTTCCCCATACCTGCTGCAATGTACTGGTTATCACGTGTTGTTCTCTGGGGCTAGAGAGATGGCTCGGTGGTTAAGAGCACTCAGAGGACCCAGTTCAGTTCCCAACACCCACGTGGTGGCTAACAATCATCTGTAACTCCAGTTCTAGGGGATCCTATGCCCTCTTCTGGCCTACATGGGCATTGCACTCACAGGTACACTTACATACATGCAGGCAAAGCACTCATATACAAAAATAATAAATAATTTTTAAATGTATTGTCCTTGCTTCACAACTCATGTATGCAGGTGTCTTCATTGACTCAATAGGCCCTAATATATAGAACAGAGTACATGAAATCAGGGTAGGGGTGTTCAGGGAAGAGTGCAGATAGGGGAGGGTATGCCTAAATGTGATCAAAATACAGTGTATGAGATTTTCAAAAATAGAATAAATTTTTTTAAAAACTGAACAAATGTATTTTTCTTCCAAACCGTAATTTTTTTTCGATGTTCCACTTGTCAAGGGTGGCCTGCAATTGTCCTGTTTTAACTGAGATTGAGAGGATTTTCCTATGTTCAAAGCCGCACGTGCTTCCTTTCTACGAATTGTTTGTTATGTTACCTGGTTTTTCTTGGGTTGCTCTTTTCTTACAGACTTTAGAAACTCTGAATTTCAAGGAACATATCCCTCTAACATTTAGGTTGTTACTGTTCCCCAGTTTGGAGGATCTTTGTGTCATCCCAGAGAAAGAGCTGACTGTTCACATGTATTAAGCAGGCACTGTTTGCTTTGTGGCAATTGTTTCATTTCATCCTTATAAAAATCTAGGAGGCTTGGAAGTCACAGGCAGGTGGATCTCTGTGAATTCAAGGACAGCCTGTTCTACATAGTGAGTTTTGGGCCAGCTGGGGCTACAGGGAGACCTTGTCTCAAAAAGACCGAAAAAAAAAAAAAATCTAGGCGGTAGCTCTGTCATTATCTCTAAAATGATGAATAAATAAATAAAATAAAGACTTCTACTCTCAGTAGAAGGCTCTATGCTCAGTGTCAAGAGGCCAACATGCATTGACTAAGAGCCTCCATTTTATGCTGTTAATAAAATAGTTTATTAGTAGTTCCTGAGTATAATTTGAATAATTTTCATTTTCATTTTTCATTTCCTCTTTCCCTTGGGAGTATGTGTATGAGATGAGCATGTACATGCATGAGGATATACATGTACATGTATACACATGCACATGTGTATGAATGACAGAGGTCCACACCGAGTGTCTTGCTCAATCACTTTTCCATGTTATATTTTGAGACAGGATCTGTCACTAAATCTGGAGTTCACTGATTGGCTAGACTGCTGTCCATCAAGTCCCAGAGATCCTCCTATCTTTACCTCATTAGTATAAGGTTTACAGGGGCAACCTGTTGCACCCAGCCTTTTACATGGGTGTTAGGGATCTAAACTCAAGTCCTCATCCTTACATGGCAAACACTTTACAGACTGAGCCCTCTCCAGAGCCCACATGTAGTTTTTTGTATTGATACTTTGGTCACTTAACATGCCATAGATTCCAAAGAGAATGAGCTAATATCACTGGTAACTATTCAGAAGCTCACCTAGATCCGATATGTCAAGCTGGAATTATGAAAAAAAATTAAAGCATTACTTTTTAAAGCCCTATTATAAGTTTTTCTGAAAGGGAAAGGGAGGCTCAGAGAAAAGGGAGAAAATACTTCTTTTATCAGAAAAAAAAAACAAAAAACAAACAAACAAAAAAACCTTAGATAATGTAAGTGTCCCAAGGTGCCCACCCTGACAGGATTTATTACAAACTAAAACACTCTTCAGGCAAAAGTTAACAGTCCTATTTCATTTTGGTTCCAAAGAAATCAAATGAGGACGTTTTCCAGAGCGGTATTGTATCTGTCTATGGTGAACTCAGTTCCAGCTGACCAGTCCTCACTGGCTCTTGTATAGTATTGGGTGAGTAAGGGACTTTATGTGAGCAGTGGGGACGTGACCTCACTTCATCCCTCATTCCATGTTCCTACAGGAGTCCCTGTAGCCAGCTTCTTACCAAACATGACAATGCTGCTGTTCAGGAAAGCTCCTCCAAAGACAAAGCGGATTTCATCTGAGTGGTCGGCCTTAACAAAGGCTGGTCTTGTGTTTTCAAAGCACTGGGGCCGGTGCTGAAACTCATAGAAGTAGACAGGTCCACCAGCATCTGACAAAAAACAAAGTAGGAAAGGGGCAGACACGCAAGTGAGGCCTGGCCCTGCATCCCTAACTATTAAGCTCTGAATATACAGACCAGAGGTGGGATAGATGGCTCTGGAGTGAGCAAGAGGCCACCTAAACCAGTCTTCCTTCTTTATCTGAAGCTAGAATTCCTTACTATAATAGCTTTCACTCCCCTAGTGAAAAAGAACTCACAACCCCTGGGACACACTGAGAAGAAAACAGTTCTCCTAAAAACAGAAAGGAAAGAAAACCCCTTTCATTCTGTGTCCAGGTCCACTCCCTCCTTCCAAAGCACTCCACATATATGCATCCTACATTCCACCTTTCTTCCATTGTTCTATAATGTCCCCACACATGGGCACACACACACGTACATGGGATACATGCATGAGAACACACAGGCACTCTCTCACATGAGCACACTGAAACACACATACACTTGGTCTTCAATTTTCCCTCCAGTTTCTGACTCATTTCTCTGCAAGTCTTCCAGGACCACCCCACAACACAGTTGCCTTATACTTATTACTTCCACTTTGTGGATAGCAAAAAGTGCTTATTTTAAGTGTGGAGTTTGAGAATCTTTTTCAAAAGATATATATATAATATCATATACTATATAATATAATATATATAAAATCATGTACCCATAACCCCAGCCAGAACATAGAATATGTCCATCAACCCAGAAAGAACCATTTCTAGTCACTTATCCAAAAGATTAGTAATATTCTTATTCCTATACCATAAATTGATTTCACCTGCTTTGAACAACATATAAATGAAATAATACTACAGATATTCTGTTGTGTTTTCAATGGCTCTTCTGCTCAACATGATTTTGAGATTCAAGCATGTTACCATATAGTTGATTTCTTTTCTTTTTAATGTATATTGAGTTTCTGTGCATTTCATACAATACATCTTAATCATATTTAGACCCCCTCCTCCATTCACACACATCCCCACAAGATTTCAACCATTCTCTCAAGCTTTTGTACCCAGATGTCTCTAGGTGGTTGATTTCCTTCTAATCAGTGAATGCTATTCCGGTGCATGAATTTGTTCATCCATTCATCTGATAATAGATAATTGTGTTATTATTAATACCCAGATAGTGCTGGTTATTATTAAAGCAGCCATGAAAATGCATACAGAAAGCCTTTCGTGTAGACACTCACTTTCAAATCTCTTCGGTGAAAACAAACCACAGATTTTTAAGTCTAGAAGTATTCTAAAGTACAGAAGTGTTCTGAATTAAGTATTAGGAATGGCTGAATGATGGAGTAGATGGTTTAACATCATAAGAAACTGACATTTTCCAGGGTGATCGTACTATTTTACTTTCCCACCAGAAGTTTCAAGGAGTTTTAAGCATTCCGCATCCGTGGCAGCACTTCTCGCTGTGGTGCAGGTGTGTGATTTTAGCCACTGTGGGTGGTAGATGGAACTAGTTCTCCCATTTTGGCTTTGTTTTGCATTACCTTGGTGATTAATAATGTTGAATGCCTTTTCGTGGGCTTTGAGACTTTCATGTATCCATAGGGGTGAATTATCTTGATCATAGTAGCTTTATATTTAACTTTAAAAAGAAGTGCTCTTCCACCTTGCATATAGTGCATGAGGGATACCAGTTTCTCCACATCCTTGACAACTGCAACAGTTTGTATCTGGAAAGTCCTCCAAACATTAGTCCCTAGCCTGGTGCTACTGGAAGGTGGGGTAAACTCTCAGAGGTAGGACTAAGTGAGGTGAGAGTCTTTAAGGTGATTGGAGTGTGTCTTTCAAAGAGGCAATGGGAAGTAGCCCCTTCTTCTTCCTGTCTTCTGCTTCCTGGCCATGTGGTAAATGGTTTTACTCTACTCACTCCTGGCATGACATGCAACCACAGACACAAAGCAGTATGGTCAGTGGATCATGGAGTCAAACCTCCAAAACTTTGAGCCTCAGTAAACTTTTTGTCTTTATAAGTCTGATTATCTCAGATTTCTGTTATAGCAATGGCAAGCTGACTAATATAGTGACACTTGTGATTTTCTTTTTTGTTGTTTTTGCTAAAATTATAGCCAATTTAGTGGAATAACACATGAAAAAGAATTAAATTTGGCAATTCTCTCATATAGTATACAAAAACTAAGTCAAAGTTTGATGAAGATCTAAATGCAAGAACTAGCACTATAAATATAGGAATAAATTCCCTCTGCTTTGAGTTTGGCAATTCACAATTAATAAAATAATATAAGCCATAATGCATCAAAATTAAAAGCCATCAGAGTTATTTGACAATATCAACACACAGGAATACACAGAATGGAGGAAAATATTTGAAAATCATATCTCATAAGAAATTAATATATGTGAGATATGAAGACCTCCTAAAACTCAAAAACAGAAAGAACTCAGCACAAGAAAGGGACAAAGCACTTGCACAGACATTTTTCTAAGAAACATAAAAATGTCTAAAAAATATTGCATGCTTCTCCTATGCAATAGTTACACATACACACACATATATAAGCATACATGGAGAGGGAGAGACAAAGAAGGAGAGGGAGACAAGAAAGAGGAAGAGCAGGAGAGGTAGAGGAGGAAGGAGAGGAGGAGAAGGAAGGGAGGGAGGAAGGCATGAATAAAGGAAGGAAGGAAAGAAGGAAGGAAGGAAGGACGGAAGGAAGGATGGAAGGAAGGAAGGAAGGAAGGAAGGAAGGAAGATAAATAAGACACAATTTTACTAAATATAATGGGCGTGGTAGCACACGCCTTTAATCCCAGCACTTGGGAGTCAGAGGCAGGCAGATCTTTGTGAGTTCCAGGACAGCTGGAGCCTCAAGGAGACCCTGTCTCAAAAAGACAAATAAAAGAATAAAGCAAGATTATGTGAAGGCAAGAAGGGACGGCAACAGATGGGAAGGAAGGCAGAGGGGAGAGGGAAGTGTTTGAGGGTGAATCAATAATATATATATATATATGTATAGAAGTCTCATAATGAAGTCCATTATTTTGTGTGCTTAGAAAATTAACTTTAAAATGTCTTAAGAGGATGTGAATACATTTCCAACCTGCTTAATAGGGGAATCACAAATCAAAGCCCTAATTAAATAACACATCGCTAATATATACCTATGCATGATACTTATTAATTCTAAAATTACAGGAAGAAGATGTTGGTGAAGGAATATACAATGGTACAGGCACTGCAGAAAATATAGTTCTTTAAAAAATGGAATCAACATGTGACTGAGTAATATAACTTCTGATATATGTCTAAAAGAACAGAAAGCAGAGACTTTAGCAGAGACTGTTACACACACATTCAAGAGTATTATTCACAATAGTCACCCAAATTACCATTGATAAATAGATAGATAAATGTGGTATACACATGCAAGGGGTATTAGCTAGCCCGTGAAAGAAATTCTGATACACAGTAGCAAAGAGATGAACCTTGAGGCATTTTACTAATAAGCCAGACAGAAAAGGGCAATGATTCAATTTATAGGAAGTATTTAAAAAATTGTCAAATTCAACTTGTGCAGCCTCTATGGAAAACAGTGTGGAGAACTCTTAAAAAACTAAACATGAACCTACCATATGACCCAGTTATACCACTCCTTGGCATATACCCAAAGAACTCGTCCTATTGCAGAGACACTTGTACATCCATGTTTGTTGCTGCTCTTTTCACAATAGCTAAGAGATGGAAGCAACCTAAATGTCCCTCAACTGACAAGTGGTTAACAAAAATGTGGTATATTTATACAATGGTGTTTTATTCAGCAGCAAAGAAAGATGAAATAATGAAATCTGCAGGTAAATGGATGGATCTAAACTGTTATACTAAGTGAAGTAACAGACTCAGAAAAACAAACGATGCATATTCTCCCTCATATGTGGCTCCTAGTGCCAAATCCTTTTAAATTCCAGGTGCTTTTAATAAGATGATGCTATACAGCAGTCCCTTCTGCATGAAATAACTACCATCATCATGACTTTGGCTGAGCTTGATCGCTAAACATAGTCACAACTGGGTTTGCTGACGGTTGTGCTCATTCATTAAAGGAGTATCCAGCCACTCTTCCCAGCCAACTAGTCCAGCCTTGGAAGACAAAAGAAAAATGAGGAAAAACCCAATAGAGGGATGCTTTTGGGAGGCCTTGTCAAGAAACTCCAATGGACTTTCATATGAACTTTTGAAAATTGCACTGTTCTGACTTTTTTCTAGTTCCCTGTCTAGAACGTGTAATGCTAATTACTCTTGCCTTTACTTCTCCTTCACATCTCTAATTTATGATTCAAGGACGTTCTTCTTCCCTTAGAGACAAGGGTTATGCAATTTGGGAGTATTTTAGATAGACCTATTGAAGGGGTACTCCAATTGCCTCACCCTGCATCCCTGTTCAGCATGGAAGAAGCCATGCTGAATAGGTCAGCGTCCCTATTCCCTATTGGCAAGTTGGGTAACCTCTTCAGAGGACGTTGTGATAAGAATAGTAGGTAGGAATTGGCTAGGCAGTTAGAGTAAAAAGGCCCCAAAGAAATGTAGCCAGTTTCTTGGCTAAAAGTCACTATCTCCTTGAGCCTGTTAACAACATACTCTTTTCCAAGGCCAAAAATTGTCCAAAAGTATTTGGGAGCTTGTACTAATCCTTAAAAGATTTTAGGGTTACCTCTTCAGAGGGGGAATTTGGAGGGGAGGGAGTGTGAAGACACCATGCCAAGGACCATGAGCCACTTACAAAAGGACTATATGATCCTATTAAAAATAAATTTTAAAAATTGTCAAATTCATAGAAACAGAAAGTAGAATCTTTGTTCCCGAGGTTACCTGAATGAATGACACATTATTGATTAACCAGAAGACAATTTCAGTTTGGGATAATGAAAAGGTTCTGGACTTATACATTAGTGATGGTTACATATTACAGTGAATTCAAGTCCACTAAAAAGTACACTTGAAAGTGGCTAAAGGGCTGAAGATGGCTC